TGACACCTGGGACTCCACGCAGGGGTGCATAATTAATATTTAGTTTCAGGGCATTTGACCATTCAGACCCAGAAAGTACTTGCTTATCGTACATGTATTTATTGGCTTTCGGGGTCTCTTTAAAATGGCGAACTCCCATGCCCTGCCACCTGCAATTGGTCCATTCCTCAAACGAATTTTCTCGAAGCGACTGCCGTAGAGCTCTCATATTCCGAATACCCCGATCAACCCCCAATCTCTCGGCACATTCATCAACCTCAGCCGAATAATCAAAGATCGACTGAAAAAGGGTTTCGGGCACATTGGACAGTCGCTGAGCAATGGACCAATGTTGTAGAGGAGCCTCCCATTGGCAGCGGTTCAATTTGGTCACCGAATCTTCGTTGAACTGTAGCTCTCCCGCTTCGTTGAACTGTAGCTCTCCCGAGAATGTACATCCTAAATACTTGATGGTATCTCCATTCTGCAATGTTTGGATGTACTCTCCGTTCTCAAGGGAGAGCATCGCTGTTTCCAGCTCTCCTTTATTTAGAACGATGTCCACGTTTTTTTGAGGATTAATAGCCAAACCAATTTCCTCAAAAGTCCTCTGAACGCTGCCGATCACTCTTTCTGCAGCCCCCTTGTCACGCGCTGACACGGCCTGGTCATCCGCGAAACCTGTGAGGACCACACAACCTTTGTCACTTTTTAACTTGTATCCAAATTTTTTGGAAAATTCTTCATCGCACAGGTCGCGATAGAGATGGTCGATGGCCAGGTTGAAGAGCGACGACGACAAGGGGCCGCCTTGGGGTACCCCGCGCAGCACTTTGATTTGGCTAGTTGCGTGAACACCGTTACTAATTTTGATTGTGTTGGTGCAGAGGAGAGCCGATATAACACGTTTAAGATCCGGTGACACACCTCTTGCTTCTAAGGAGCTCACGATGTGTTTATGGCCAATATTGTCAAAAGCACCGACAACGTCAAGGAAGACTACCGCACAATCATTTTTCATAATTTTCGCATCTTTTAATATAGCGTCGATAATCCTTGCGTTGACGTGCGTTCCCGGGAGGCCTTTTATAAAGCCTCTCTGATTCCTGTGGAAGGTGACCTGCTTTCTTAGTTCGTGGTCCAGAACCTTCTCTATGATTCGGCACACAATAGAATAAATGGTGATGGGTCTCCATAGGGCTAAGGCAAAAAAAAAAAAAAAAAAAAAAAGGGCTAAGGCATTCTTTCTGTCCCAATGTGACCTCTATATCATCAGAATAGTTACTGTTGATATTGATTCGCACTGTAGCTTGGTCATACAATTTTTCAACAATTCTAATTATTTTCCCACTAACGCCTATTGAAAGCAACTTTTGCCACAAAAGGTTCTGATTTATTGAATCAAATACTTTTTTAAATTCCACAAATACAGCATAAACATAGCTTCCTTTTGCCTGTAGGTTGATATTTGTTAATGGCATAAGTGTGAATATTTGTTACATACAGCCTCTACCCTCTCTTAATCCAGTCTGTTCCTAAGGGATTAAATTTTCAATCTCCAATGTTAGCTTCTATTCGCGAAGATAGGCTGAAAAGTTTAGTGATGTTGTTTATTGGTGAGATTTTCCTATAATTACCTGGATCCTTTTTATCTCCTCGTAGATCTGTTATAGCTCTGATCTAGACCAAAGTTAGCTCAGAAGAATTTTAGGTTCCAAGAAGAAAATAAAACTAAAGAGAAAATAAATAAAGGTTTGAAAATTTCAACTGATAAGAAAACTATTGCTTCTTTGATACATTGAAATAATGAGTAGTACCAAAACCAGTAAAGCCTCGAAAATCTAATTTAGGTTGTATTTTTTGCGAGAAATGATACTCATTCTTGTTATGAAGCATGCAAGATGCTGCCTGAAGAAGAAGATTTGCTTGAAAGATGGTCATAGTGCAAGATATAGTAGACAATTTAATTTGTGGTAGGAAGCACATCACGATTATATATCCAAATTTAGTTCCATTCCAGTCATCAGATGAAGAATCAGAAGAGAGCATCCAAGATTTCAGTTTTCACGGATCTTTCAAATCATTCAAGAGTGCAGGTTTTACTGGTACCTTTTCTCGCAAAATTGGAACATGGGGTGGGAGAAACTGTGATCAGATGCTTGATTGACACATGATCACAAAAATCATTTCAGAGGGACCTACAGAAAACTTGAATTTGGTATCATTGAGAGAAGAAAGAATGGTTCATGGACTGACTGATGGTGCAGAAACGAAGCTCCAAAAACATAAGGTTCATCGAATTTATCTGTGTAGCATGGATGATTCCTTCAGGTGTAACTTTGGTGTAACTCTTACTCAACCAACTATTTGTGAAGCGGTGGACGTATTAAATACAAAATACATTAAGAATATTTTTTAAGAACAATGCATTCAAATTGCAGAAGACCCATAGGATCCTAAAGAACTGTTGCTGATCGGTGCAGATGTAGCTGGTAAGCTATTGACTGGAGAGGTTAAATCTTTTGGAGACCTAGTTGCTATCGGGGCTAGACTTTGTTGGTTGGATGTGAGAAAATTGATGCGAGCTTCCCCTGCACTAAATAGTTTCACCTCCAGTACTTTGACTTTATGCGCCGGAGACAAGTCTAAATCCTAATCATGGCAGTTGGATCTGGATTGGTATGTACCAGAAGAGCAAAACCTCAGCAGATCTCCCTTCTTGTAGATGTGTGGCCACCAAATTAGTTGAAGATAGAGGGTGGGAGGGACTGATCTGGCTTCAGCAGTCTGAAGATAATAGGCCTCCTTTTTAAACTTTTGTAAAGATTGTACAATCTTAAAATGGCTTTAGAAAATATGCCAGTGGAAAGAACTATTGAAGTTAGCAGAGGAACATAGTGTCACTATGGATGTTTCAGATGGACCTATGACAGTGGTGATAAAAGATAGAGGGTTTATTTATGAGCGATGGTGTTTGTGCGAGCCATTCAAAGGTGGGGAATGTTAGAAAGAGTAGTAATAATCTAGAAGACTGCAGCGAGATGTTACTTTAATCACATATGTTATAATTAAAATATATGATATAATTGAACAAAAATGGTTATGTTGAAAAAACTTGATTTGTGCTTTGTACTAATAAAAATATTATTGTTAATAAAAGAATATCCGTGCTCTATTCTTTAATTGTTCTTTATTTTGTGTGTGGAAGTAACTCATATTGTCAAATTTAAATCAGACCAAAAGCTTCTTACAACTAAAACAAATGATCTAATCAAAAATTCCAGAGAAAAAAGTTGTAGGTCTACTTTTTAATTTCAACAACCACTATTGCTATTTAACTTTTATGTGACATGTAAGGCTGATGCAATGCAAAAACACTAGGTTGGCAGGTAAAATTTGCTTTCAAATATTCTCATTTAAGTTATGAAAGATCCAGAAAAAGTGATTTTAATAACTTCAAAATTGAAGGATTTATGTCATTTTAGAATCTTGTATTCTTAATGTTATTATTATATTTCAGGCAGCTCATAAGCTAAAGTATTGGATAATTTTTTATGCATGTTTTAATCATTTTTCTAATAAAAATGATTGTAAGCCTTTAGGTTTATCACTTTATTTTATTTTGAGAATTTCATAAAAGTAAATTTGTGTTTTTTTTTTATTTATAAAGTTATCACTTTTTTTTTTTAAAGTGTATTTGTTATACCCAGTTGATGTTTGTCTAACATCATCATGGATGATTATTTTTACAGTTATATATTTTTTTTGTTATAAAAACTATAACACTCTTTGTCATCTAGTATCCACAGCATTTTCATTTATTTTACAATTTTCTTAAAAATACATTTTTCATGGAGAGTGTTACTCAGTATTTCTTTAATTATCACACTTCATCAATACCAAAACTCACATATTTACTAAATTACTGTTACTCATAAAACAATAAATAGATGAAACAAAAGTCATTTCTGGCATGATTTTCCACAATTAAAAAAGGGAAAGGAAATTGATTGTATCCTCTTCCAAATCCTCTGAACCGAAAATCCTCCCTACATTCTAGAACTCCCTACTCTATGTCCCTCTACCCATACTCCAAATACTATATTTCAACCTATTGATCTATATATACACTACCATAAAACCACTTCCTTCAGCAAATCCTTGGTCATTAATGCTACCTCCTTTTGGATTTTTTTACTTGTCTCCATTTTTCAATTCTCCTCCCCAAATTCCTTTAAACAATTCCTAATTCAACACCTATTACATATTCAAACTTCCAAAAATATGTAAGAATTATTTATTCCTGTAACTAAAATTTCTACTTATATTCAATTGACTAGTACTGTTTTGTATTTCTTCATACCAGACTTATGTGCCTAATTTCTGAACTCTGTCATTATTCTTATAGAACTTTGGTCCCAGAATAAAATTATTTTTTCATTTTATTTCTCACCAGATTTTTAAATTTTGGAACAATATTCACTCAGGATCAATAAAATCTCTTAAAATGAATAACTTACTAATGTATAGGCTGTTAAACAGTAAATGTTTCTTTAATTTTGTAATATTATAAATATTTAAATTGCTAACAATGAAATAAAGCCAATAAAAGATTTATATTTACAATTTAAGTCATGTTTACCTACTGGTACTGGTGGGGGGAACTAGTCTGGTAAGTGGGCCTATTGTGATCCTTTTTGCTAATCTCTGACTTCTACCTTGAGGTTGCTGCCGCGTACTTGCCAGAGTGGGAATGTCACAATCCATTTCCCGGGGCCGCTGAGAAATGAAAAGTAACCAATCCAGGTGGGAATCGAACCCACAACGTTCAGAACTGGGCACTCTGGTACCCACGCCCTAATGTTCTCAGCCATCTCGTCCTCTATGTTTACCTAATGTTTACTTATAGAACTTCTTACCATATTACAGTTGTAATTATACAATACATAAAATTTTCCAATTATTTTTTTATTATCTCCTTTTTACAACATTGAGTAAAATTGTTTATTTCTTTATTTTAGGTTATAAAGGAGTTATGTGAAGAAATAGAAGTACATTTACGTCTTCATGCCCATTCTCATTTGAAAAATGATCCTTTTTTAGGAGTTATTAATAAAGATTATGGTGTTATCCTACATGATTTACCCATAAACATGTACAAATGGTTTATTACTATAAAAGGTAAGATCATTTCTAAAGGTACTATTGAGTATCTTACATTATTTAATATATAATTTTTGTACTGTGTTTTCTGGATAGAATGCTTCGTTTAGTTCAGGAGCCTGTTCATAAAAACCACCTCATAAAACACATATTTGCAAATATTTTAGCAATTTAGTTTCTACCAAATTTAACACGAAAACACATTTCTAACCGTCCTACAACTTCCACTAAGCAAGTAATTAATTTGATAAATTGATGAATTAGGTATCTCATCAACCTTACTACCTCATCAAACGTATGATTTATTCTATTTTAAAAAGTTTTTTTAACTAAAAATAAAACCAGTTTTCTGGCTGGTTTAGCATCGTTAATAACGTGCACCAGAAGCACATAAAGACTGTATTAATACATTTACTAGCCCATAGAACATTCAAACTTGTGTCTGAAAGTTGATGAAAATACATATCTGGCTGTTTAAAAATTCTTACTAATGATCACCAGGAGCGAAAAAATAGTGGCTGCCCTGAAGATTTGTACCTAAAAGATAGCTTGTAATGTGACAGTTTGATTATAAATTAATTTAAAAGAAGGCAAAATTGGGCTGACCGGTACTTGTTAAATAGCGGGTAGCATCCGACTGCTATCTGCCAATGTTTATAACCTTAACACTGATAACTCTGATAAGCCACTGATAATATCTTCGTATTCATATTTATTGTATTATATTCATATTATTAATATTCATATTATTATATCTTCGTATTCATATTTATTGTATTGTATTGATATTATTGAAATTGTAAAAAAACAAAAACAAATGTAATAATAAAAAAACACTTTTATTTTACAAGATATATATTAAATAGACCAAAACATTATACATATATAATTAAAAAACATTACAACATATATATAAAAATAAATGAAATAATAAAAATAGGCAAAGAATAGACAAAAATAAATGAAATAATAAAAAAACTTAAACAGCATATGTACATATAAAAGAAACACTATGAAGACTATACAGAACATATGTACAAATAAAAGAAATGATATAAACACTATAAACAAAATATGAACAATTTTATTTTAACTTAATTTATTTTGGTAGGGAAAATAGTTTGATGCTATTTAAAGTAGCGAGGAACGGAACCTCTTCTCTGTGAGCCCACCGCCACAAAAACTCACATAAATATGAATCAAGGTGTTGTCTGGCAGTTCCTCTATGTTTTTTAATTCCTCCACTTAGCTGATCCCCATAATCATTCTGTGTTAAATTTGGACCCTACTTGATTGCAAATGCATCTCCATTTATTCTTCCGGTCGAAGTTCATTTCATGACCTTCATCACAATATTTCACCTTTGCAAATATCCTAGCGTTTTGAAAATATTTGATAGCCTCTTCTTCTGAAGACGGCAATTCCCACAATGTAACAACGTCCATAATTAAATAAGACTAACTCACAGCATACACAAGGAACAAAAAATAAGCAATGGAATAACTTAGCTTAGACGAGATAAAAAGGGAGATTAAGTGAAATAAGATTAGATAACAAGGGAGGTTCCGACGCTACCCGCTATTTAACAAGTACTGGCTGACCATAACAACATTAGGGGTATTCATGCACTTGTTGTAAATGCTTAATGTGCTATCATGCTAAGCAGTCAGCACAAATTTTGAATAAATAGCAAATAATCTGTCTGTGCTAACGTGATAAAGTGTTATTAGTTAGGTTATGCCTGTACTGTAAACACAGTCGGTGAGTTCTTAATTGATCTAGTAATGTTTTGCTTTATTTTTAAAATGCCAAAGGGAACTGAAAAGACTGAGTTGCTGGATTATTTAGTTTAAAATGTTTTATTAGAAAACATGAATGAAGATTCAAATGATTAAGAAGGCAAAAAACTTGACGAATACATAGATGAAACCCTAGTTGTCTTTACATTCCATTTCTGTAGATATTGTACACAAAGAACACCGAATCAAAACCTACAATAACCTCTGTGCATTTACAAAGTTAGCAACACTTCACATAACCCTAGGCTGTGTTAAAATTAGCTAGCTAGCAGCCATATTCAACACATATTTCTTAAATAATTTTCAATTTTACTCATTTAAGAGGTTTACAATACTTAGCACTGGTTGCATGAATACCCCTGTTGTATGATTATTTGTATTTGTTATTTTTCTAATTTTTAAAAATGTATTTATTATTTTTTTTACTTGAAAGCTAGATTTTTATTTGCCTATTATATAAATAAAGACTTGTAGGGTGAAAATAAAAATATTAACCACCATAAACTTGCAAAAAAATTTATTATATTAATCAAAAGTTTTGTTCTTGTAGTTTTGTCGATAGTTCAACAATTATGTGACTCAAAAAGATGACCAAAACCCCCAAATTCCCCATTTTCAAACAGTCACTCAACCTAGAATCTAAAAAATAAACAATTAAGGCTTTTATTTATCATAAACTTCCCGAAAAACACTATAATTACTGTGAATTTTAGATTGTTAACTCCTGTCCCATCGGAGATATTACAGCTTTAAATTAAAAAAATCTAATAAATCAGATAACAATAATATAGTTTTATGTAATTAATTATACCATATCTAACTTGATAAAAAATTATGTACATGTGTTATTTCATAATTTCGTTATATCAATAAAAATATATGTATCAATACTCAACATCAACATTGGGGATTGCTATGTGTAACATTCTCCCAGCCTTTGATTGCTTTGCAGGTTGTGACTACAAAGCTTCTTTTTATAGATAAAGAAAGATGAGACTCTTAGAAATTTTGAAAAAAACAAATACCGAATTTTAAAGTATGTACCGTAATCACAAACTACACAATTTTTTATTTAGAATCTGCAAATCTTTAAAAATTTTGTTAGCCTAATATAGGGAATTAAAATTTCCTCAACTTAACAAGGCTATTTAATTTTAGATCAGTGTAGAATAAATTTGTTGCTAAGTACTGAAATTAAACAAAGAGATAGATATATTTTGATATCCTCCTTGTTCACAGTTTTGAGAACAAAATATGGATAATTGAGAACAAAACACTATGTTTTGAATATCTGCTATACACCTAACACTGAATATATTCCTGAGCTCAACTTAAATTATTACAGTTTCATAATAACAGAAAATAAAATTATTGAATATTTAATAGTTGACCGTTGCATTATAAAGGAAGGAGATGGTCCGGGGTTGCAGTCATAAATAGGCTAAATAGTGGTAAAACTATTTTATTGAAAGCCCGGAAGGATATAAAATAAAATTATATTATATCCTCCCGTGTAATTAAGTGTGGGAAGTGTTTGTTTAGACAACTTTCTACTTTAATGATGTAGAGATGGTTGACCGTGATATAATATGAAGAGTTGATTGGGGGGGGGGGGTCAAATAAATACTAAATTATACAAATAGTATTATTTAATTTTTTCCGACGTCTCGACACACTTTGCAGGTCTTCATCAGGGCTACAAAAGATAGAAAACATGGTGAAAATAAAATAGATGAATATAAGTAGATATAAAATAAGAAGAAGTTGTCTGATAAAGAAATAAAAAGATGATACCAGAGATATAGTGGGTGACAATGTAGTTAAAATATCAAGTATTATATATATAGAAGATACAAACAAAAATGGAAAATAAGTATGAATAAAAAATAGAAAACAAAGGATAATATAGCATGTAAGTTAAAAGTAAACAGTTTGTGATAAAAGATAAAGAATGAGTGTATAACAAACTAATAAAGATTACATTTGATAACTGTAGTTTAACAGATAAAGAAACTGAATGTTAACGAATAAAGAGATTGAAAATTGAATAAGTATTAATATAGTAAAGCTAAAATAAGAATAAGATAATATAATAATAAAATATCAGTGAATAACAAGCTAGTGGAGGTTACATTTGATAACTGTAGATAACGGGACTAAAGGTTAAGAAATAAAGAGATTGAAAGATTAATAGGATAACATTAGTTGTAGTATTGTTAGGATAGATTATTAATTATAAATAACTCTATGAGAAAAAAAAAATTTAAGAAGAGAAATTTAGAATGTAAGTATAAAGGTAAAACAAGGTTATGATGATAAAAACAAGTTGTACTATATATAGATGACAACTGACATTCAGTTTTTTGAAAGCGGTAATGGAATAGTAGGTTGCATGAAAATAATAATAAGGTGTATAGTTGAAGGATAGATGTGTTAAGAAAAAAATCATACCAAAAACATACCAAAGTCAAAAGTTAAAAAAAAAAGTCAAAACATACCATAGGGTAACACTGCGGGAGGCAGTTGAAACACTGGCAGTGTAAAAACAGTTCTAGTAAAAATAAATACGTACACATACACACACACACACACAATATATATATATATATATATATATATATATATATATATATATATATATATATATATACAAACATAGATGCATATATACATATATTCATACATGTATATACATATATACACACACGCATACATAACACGTAAAAAGTAAAAGGAAATTTCTACTTTAATAAAAAAAAAGAAAATAACTCTATTGAGTTCAACTTAGGCAACATTCGACATTATTTTGCAGTGGACTGTATTTTTATTAAATGTGGTAGGTTATATGGTTTATGAAAAGTAACTCATCCTTTTATGCTGGCATATAAACCTTACGTGACCTTTAAAGGGCGACTTCCAATCCAGTTTTTCTTCTTAGGCCCGGTTGCGGCCAGGGGTATTTCAAAATTAAAATACAATTCTTTTCCTCATAAAAGTTTCCTCAAAGCTGGGAAAATAAAAGTAGGAGTAAAATTAAAATGAAGGGAATGAAGAAAAAAATGAGACCTGTAAAACAAGGTACAAACTCGTGCGAATAAAACACTATTAAATAATACATATTCAATCGATTAAATATGGAAAATAAATAATTCCCCTTTTGAATGTTTACACTATCTATTATATTGAATAAAAAGAGAGATATACATATAAAGTTAAAAATCAAAATAAAATGAAACAATGATATAAAAATTCATTGACATAAAACCTAAACATAAAATACAATATTCAGTGAAAATAAAAACAAATTAACAATTAGGAATAAAACATAAATAAAGTCAACTTCTGATGTTAGAGATCAATAATAAGAAAAAAACTTAAATTAAAATTTAATTGAATGTCCAGAAAACTTTTGTTCCGGGATCGAACCCCTGAAACACAAACAAAAAACAAATGAAGAAAACAATTCTATATTTGTGGACTTCACCACCATTTTTATTGGCCTCCATTTTGATGCAGGCTCAGCTATATTGAGAAATCTGTCCTCTAAATTTCTTTTTGACATTAAATATTTAGCTGTTTCAATTTAATATTAATTATTCATTAATTTTAATGTCTGAAATTTGTAAATATTTATTTTGTTTCTATCTTTCCCCTGATATTTCAAATAATCCACTTGCAGTCACACTTTATTCTGTGATATTATCATCTTTTATTGTGAGAGAAAGATTATTACGGAAATGATAGTGGAAATTAAAATATTTAATTTTTTTTTCAGGTCTTGTTGAGTCTTATTTAAACAAAACATTCTATGATTTGACAACCGTAGCTTTACATGACTGGCAAACATACAGTGAAATGAAAAGTTTGGCAAAGCATCAATTTAAATTGAGAACTCTGGAAGATAATCTCCCAAGTCAGACTGTTTCACAGGTAACTATTTTAAAACCAAATTTCCTTTTTCTGTCATTGATGGACTTGAAAAGATTATTCAGTATACTTTAAAATATGAAGATAAAAACCATATTATTGTTTTTGCTCTTTTTAAGTAAGTTCATCATGTACTTGGTTTCAAGTGTTAATCCCAAGCAATCTCTTATGTCATTAAAAAAAAAAAAATTATAGTGTCAACAATAAAGTAGCTTGAACTGAGTATTGAAGTAAGGCTTACTTCCAAGTGCTTAAAGGGCAAGGTGACTATTATCAGTTAGAGCAAAACTGATTCTGTACTTTTAGTTGCAGCATTTAATAACTTTTATGAAGGAGATATAATTGTTTTTCTTTTCAAATATTATCTGTACAGTATGTCTGCAGAACTCTTTTAGAGAATTTTTCTTAGTAAGCCAAGTTCTCCTTAAAAATAATCCTAGATTTATATACTGCACTGCATTTACTGGCATTATTGAGCCACAATATGTTGCTGAATTTTGGATAGTGCTAAAACAATTTTGTTTTATTGTAAAAAATAATACAATAATCCCTATTTGTATTATTATATTATATTATAGTATTATTATTTGCGTAATAAGGGCATATTTAGAGTGTGAAAACCTCAAATATATATATATATATATATATATATATATATATATTTTTTTTTTTTTTTCTGAAACTTTAATTTTTTTTCTGTTGACATTTCAGATCTTGTAGATCTTTTAACACTTTAACAAGCCCACTCCTTGTTTGCTTATCTTGGGATATTTCTTTCCAGTTGTCTGCATGCAACTCTATTGTATCATCGTTGATTCGATCTATCCATCTGCTTTTTGGCCTTCCTCGTGGTCTTTTGTCTACTATTGAGGCATTTATTGTCATATAGAGGATTCCTGATGGATTGTTTTGAGCTATATGCTCTGCCCATCTTAATCTCTGTGCCTTCACATCATGAGGTATTAATTGACTAGTTTTTGTAAGCAGCTCTTTATTGGTCTTTCTTTTTCATATGTTAGTACTCTGATTTCAGATCGCTCTGGTTATTGTGCAGAGGATTTTTCTAAAGTCTTTTAATAATATTTTCTAGGGCTGATTATGGAATTAGTTTAATAAATATTGGTGTCATTTTAGAGGATTGTTTCTTAGATTGTCAAAAGAGTTTTGAAATTCATATCGCTGTTTTAAGTCATTTGCATTAGTCCAATCAATAAGTACACCCAACCTTGCAATAGGGCTAGTAGTTTAAATTTTTCTATTGGTGTTGTATTACTATCTATTGATTTTGTTTTTGGTGTTGTTGTTCTTACTCTTAAGGTGCACTTACATGTGAGAGGAACTCTGGAGGGTTACTCACAGACCTTTGCAAGGAAGAGTGAAATTCGTCAGAGCTCACTCTCCAAGAGCAACTCTCGCAAGTTCGGTTAAGTCTGTTTATACAGGATCAGTTTTGAGAGTGATTTTAAGTTAAAAAGGTGTGTTCGACACGAAACAAGATGTAGTAGCAGTGTTATTAGTTTTCAGCTTATTAAAAAAAAAAAAAAAATTTCAAAAACAAAATGAGCGGGTCAAGTCCTGGATACAAAGGAAGAATCATTTAGGTGCGTGTCACACTTTAGCACGCAAATTGGAACTGAAACCACCCAGAAATTAAGGAATTTTTAAAGATTTTCAAATGTTGAAAATAGAGAATGATTTAAAGAAAATGAAAAAATATTAATATATATATATATATATATATATATATATATATATATATATATATATATATTTCTTTTTTTCTGTTGGCGATACAGACCTTGTATACCTATGACTGCAAGATGTGGTTTTCTGTACCACATCCCAATACCTGATTTAAGTACATGGGAGTAGGGTCATCAGTCCTATGCCAGGTCAGTGTGAGTTGCCTCCAGTTGCCTCCAGCGGATTGACAACTTTGACTTTAGTTAGTTTTTTGGTCACTGAGAATCAGCATTTGGCTTAATTTTCTCATAGTTGGTCTTTTATTAAAGCTGAATAGTTATAGGATAATAAAATATGAAGAAATATTAAAAAATAATCGGCTTAGGCTATGAAAAACACCAGTAAAGTCAATTTTTTTAACAAAAAAGTTTTCAAGTTACAAATCAAGCGTCGTTTGTAATTAAACGGCCTACAATAACGCAAAACATGCAGAAATAAACCATCTGGAGAATATATTTCTCTTTCTAAAACGCTGATTATTTTTTAAAAATGTTTAAGCAGTTCCGTAGAAAATGCACTTACGCGGCAGAAAAGCGGTACTGGCGTGGGTGCCTACAGGCCTCTACCACACCATTCAGTGCCCATAAATGGCTTAGTTATAGTGATATAATAACATTTTTGGTACATTATATTGGTTTTGTTAACGAACAAATATTAATGCAATAATTTAATTGTAAAAAAAAAAATTAAAATTTAAAAAAAAATTTATTATTATTTTTTTTTTTAACCTCCTTTATTCTATACGTAGGTCGTTTAAGAAGACCTCAATTGTAAAAATGATATAATTATAATAATAAAACTTAATTAAAAAATACTTTGCTAAATATCTTGATTTTTTTTAATTTAACGTTTGCAATTTAACACTGTGTTTTGTATATTTACTGATTCTTAGAAGTAATTAAAATTTTTATATACTTGGAAATGAGTCATATTAATACCTGTTTTATAAACTAAAATAATATATACCTAATCTGAACTATATATAATGAATAGCTACCGGGTTGTTTAGTAAAACTCATATATCACTAATTAAAAAAATAATTTTTATTTCCTTTATTTTGTGCAGAAGTTGAACTATATCATAAATAAATAGGAAATTTTAATATTGAATGAATTATTCTCTATGCACAAAGAAAGATAGAAGGGGTGATGCTATTAGTTCTTCTATAAACCAAAACTGATTGTTTGGATTTGAGCTCAAAATGAGGAAAAACGTGAACTTAAACGAGAAAATTGGAAAAATACATTAAGCGAACGAGAAAGGAAGTGCCAAAACCTCGGAATAGATAAAAAGGACCAGTATCCATTATATAGCTAAATGAATGTATAGTAGAGAGATGAACAGAATATTTCAAGATGCTGCTAAAACGGGATCAATTGCAGTTTGGATGATATTAAGTGGACGATGTAGGTTTATTATGGTGAAAACCACTTTATTTTCGATTGCTGAAGATGCACATCGGGACTATATTAACTTTTAAGCAGGATATAGAGAGGTATATCGAGAAAGTTATAGCTCATAGCTTTCCTTCTGTATAGTGCATTTGCAAAAGATTTTTTAAGGAATCTTATATTAGTTATAGCTCGTTATTGTTGAGAAATTGCGGAATAAATTGTTCGGAATTTGTACCATATCATAAAAAAATAGAAAATTTTAATATTAAATGTATTATTCTCTCTGCACAAAGAAAGATGGAAATGGCGAAACCGAACTGCTTTGACAGTTTTGCGCGTACATAGGCAACAAGCATATTAGAAAATAATATATAAGGACTGTGGTTTTTACCTTTACAAGAAAGGAGGTACTAGGAAATGTAATACCCATCAAGATTCATTCCTGTTTAGTGTACCAAACAAATTATACTCAAGAATCGTAGAAGCTGGAATAAGAAATATTGTCGATTGCCAGAGTGATATGGATTGAGAAACTCAAGTTGCACATTGGAAGAGAAGTTGAAAATTGGGACTGTCTTCACTTTAAGGCAGGTTATAGAGAAGTCCACATAAAAAGAAAAATAGCTCTCTATCTGCTTAGTGCCTCACACTTTGGATTATGCTAATATCTAATAGTCTTTCAGAAAGGCTCATTTTCTTTTAAGCTTCCTTAAAAAATCTTTTCAAATGCACTAAACAGAAGGAGAGCTATGAGCTATAACTTTCTCGATATACCTCTCTATATGCTGCTTCAAAGTGAAGATAGTCCCGACGTGCACCTTCAGCAATCGAAAATAAAGTGGTTTTCACCATAATAAACCTACATCGTCCACTTAATATCATCCAAACTGCAATTGACCCCCTTTTAGCAGCATCTTGAAATATTCTGTTCATCTGTCTACTATACATTCATTTAGCTATATAATGGATACTGGTCCTTTTTATCTATTCCGAGGTTTTGGTACTTCCTTTCTCGTTCGCTTAATGTATTATACGCGTTTTTCCTCATTTTGAGATCAAATCCAAACAATCAGTTTTGGTTTATAGAAGAACTTATAGGGTCACCCTTTCTATCTTTCTTTGTGCATAGAGAATAATTCATTCAAAATTAAAATTTCCTATTTATTTATGATATAGCCCAACTTCTGCACAAAATAAAGGAAATAAAACTTAATTTTTTAAATAATGAAATATGAGTTTTACTAAACAACCCGGTAACTATTCATTATATATAGTTCAGCTTAGGTATATATTATTTTAGTTTATAAAATAGGTATTAATATGACTTATTTCCTGGGAAGTATATACAAATTTTAATTAGTTCTAAGAATCAGTAAATATACAAAACACAGTGTTAAATTGCAAACGTTAAATAAAAAAAAATCAAGATATTTAGCAAAGTATTTTTTAATTCAGTTTTATTATTATAATTATATCATTTTTACAATTGAGGTCTTCTTAAACGACCTACGTATAGAATAAAGGAGGTTAAATTAAAAAAAAATAATAATAAATTTTTTTTTAAATAATTTTTTTTTTAACAATTAAATTATTGAATTAATATTTGTTCGTTAATAAAACCAATATAATGTACCAAAAATGTTATTATATCACTATAACTAAGCCATTTATGGGCACTGAATGGTGTGGTAGAGGCCTGTAGGCACCCACGCCAGTACCGCTTTTCTGCCGCATAAGTGCATTTTCTACGGAACTGCTTAAACATTTGTAAAAAATAATCAGCGTTTTAGAAAGAGAAATATATTCTCCAGATGGTTTATTTCAGCACGTTTTGCGTTATTGTAGGCCGTTTAATTACAAACGAC